TTGCAGCAGCACAGACATTTTGATGCAATAATTCAAAGCAAGAGGTGTCAGTTATCAGACACTGTTAAAGAAACAAGATATTGCAAGAGTGCTAATGTTTTAGGCATGTTTTTATTTTAAGTTAAAAAAAACCTCTTTGTGTTTGTGTCCTTTATAACATTTATATCTCCGCTACCTGGCATTACATTTTATGACACACATGGTCTGGCCCAACAAGGTCTCATTTATGTCAGATCCGGCCCTCATAACAAATGACTTCGACACCCCTGAATTAATGCACATTCCCAATAATATGTGCCTCTTGGTACCACATCCCAAGCATCTGAAGATGCTGAAGGACAAGTCGAACCCCTAGAGATTTGGACTTCTCTGAAATTTATCGGCACACCTACGGGAAAGGGACATTAGTTTGATTTAGAAGGGGCAAAAGTTGTACACAGACCCAAAGCCATCTGCACTGGGAGTAAAAGGCAGAAAATATGGGAAAGCTGGATGAAGGACGGCTGACGGGTTCCGCTTTAGTTTGCACATGTTTTACCAAAAAATGTGTTTGTTTACTCTGACAGAGACTTACGGCTCGGTCTTTGGAGTGGCTGCCTCGGCCTAATAAAAAAGATAAATCTGCAATAATTCAGCTCCCGGTTTTTAATAAAATCTCATCCTTCTTCTTTCTCCCCTAAAGCAGATAGGAAAACCCTTGGTGGCTGAAGATTAGCTGCTCCCCCTCCCCCCCCTTCCACCCTTATCGCAAGAAAATGACAGGGGCGTATCGGCACTGGGGAAATGAACGGCTGGAAATAGTTCCAGGCAGAGCAAAGCAAGAAGACCTTCCGAGACACGAGCAAATCCATGTTTTGCTTGCCGTGTATGCACTTGTCTAAACATCCCACCCCCAAGCTTAAATCTTCAAAGCCAGCATTCTGTAGTGTCAGACTAGGATCTGTGGGAGTCCCAGGTTCGAATCCCCACTCCGCCATGGAAACTTGCTAGGTAACCTTGGGCCATTTGTGAGCTCTCAGCCTGATCTACGTCATGAGGGGGGAGAATCTTGTAAACCGCTGGGTCCCCATGGGAGAGAAAAGTAGGGGAAGAAGAGGAGGAGGAGGAGGAGGAGATTGGATTTATATCCCGCCCTTCACTACCCAAAGAAGTCTCAGAGCGGCTTACAATTGCCTTCCATTCCCCTCCCCAAAACAGACACCCTGTGAGGTAAGTGGGGCTGAGAGAGCTCTGACAGAAACTGCTCTTGAGAGAACAGCTCTGAGAGAACTTACGACTGACCCAAGGTCACACCAGCAGCTGCATGTGGAGGAGTGGGGGAATCGAACCCGGTTCTCCCAGATTAGAGTCCGTGCTCCTTAACCACTACACCAAACTGCCTCTCACTGAAGTAAATAAAACAGAAAGGAGCCTTGTGACACCTAAGAAGGTTTATTGTAGCACGAATGTCACCACTTTGTCTTCTTCCGGGCGTCTTTTCTTCTCATAGGAATGCGGGCGATCTACAGGTGAGACTGGGCAGGGATGGAAGAGTTAAACCCCCTCTTCTTCCTCTGGGCAGCCTCAGTCCAGGCGGAGGCCGTGCATGGTTGAAACTGACTTTTTATAATGCTTGGAAGATCCAGGCGTGGGCTCCTGACCTGGATAGCCCAGGCAAGCCCGATCTTGTCAGATCTCAGAAGCTAAGCAGGGTCGACTCTGGCAAGTACTTGGATGGGAGACCTCCTTGGAATACCAGAGGCGGGAGGCGGGGGCAGGCTTTATTCAGCCACCTCTGTGAATATCCTCCAGGAGGGGTCCGTCATCAGAGGTTGCCATGACTTCCAGGTGATTGCGTGCGTACGCCTGCACACGCACACACACAAATACAACCCCCCCCAAAAAAAAACCCAGAAAAAAGGAAGATCCAATCATGCTTTCAGTGTAATTAGGATGATTATTTGTCAGGGATACTTTAGGTAATCCTGCACGGTGCAGAGGGTTGGACTGGGTGGGCTTCAGGCCCCCTTCTGTCTTTACAGTCCTATGATTCTATGACTGTGCTTTAATTTTTGCCAACTGTCTTGAGCATCCTTTTATGGGAGGTGTAGCCTGTAAATCAGGGGTGTCAAACATGCGGCCCAGGGGCCGGATGAGGCCCCCGGAGGGCTTCTATCAGGCCCGCGGTGGAACTGGCTGTCTTCTGCTTCTTCTTCCAGTTCTGCTGCTGCTGTGTCATCGTAGGTTTGCAGCTTAGAGATGCACACCTGAACAGTATACTCAAGATTGCAACAGCCAGGGGTCATTTCATAGAAAAAGAGGTGCAGGAGCTCATTAGCATAACTCATTAGCACAACTTATTTGCATATGCCACACCCCCTGACATCACCAGAAGTGTGTCAGAAGGCAACACCCACTGCAACTTACCTGGCTGCTTCTTGCTCCTCGTGGCCTGGGGCTTCTGGGAGCAGGGGGCAGGGCTTGTTGCATGTGCCCACCCCCAGGGCACTTTACTGCCGGAACTCTGCTCCTGTGCGCTCCTGCAGGAAATGACCCCTGGGCCCAACCTGGTGGAACGAGCTCCCGGAGGAAATCAGGGCCGTGAGGGATCTGTTACAGTACCGCACGACCTGCAAGACGGAGCTCTTCTGCCAGGCGTTTAGTTAGGGAGCTGCCACTGCTATAGAGTCCTGGCCCTTGGTCTTGACACCGAGCCTGCACCGCAGGAAATCACGAGCAGAACAACATCTGGGAAGTTGACATCTATTCTGAAAGCGAGCCATCTTGGATAATTAATGAATTGCTATCAGCACTTTGTGAATCTGTGTTGGGTTTTTTATATGAGTGTATGATGTTTTAACTGTATTTATGTTGAGTGGAAGCCGCCATCAGGAGGTTCACCAATGGGCCCCAGAACTCCAGAAGCCCTCCCAATGTGGCCCCCCCAACCACCAAGAATACAGAATATCACTTGCCCCAGACATAAGAACATAAGAAAAGCGATCTTGGATCGGGCCAATGACCCATCCAGTCCAACTTTATTTGTTGTTTCTATTTTATTTCCTTCATTTATAACCTACTTTCCCCCTCCAATGGAGACCCAAAGCACCTTACACCATTTTCCTCTCCTCTCTTATACCCTCTCAACAACCCTGTGAGGTAGGTAAGGCTGAGACTGTGTGAATGGCTGAAGATCACCCAGCATGTTTCCATGGCAAAGTGGGGATTCAAACCTGGAACCTCCACGATCCTAATCTGATGCTCTATAACAACTACAACCATACTGGCCCCGCTAATGGTCCTCCTGATGGTCCCTGGGTTTTGGCCACTGTGTGACACAGAGTGTTGGACTGGATGGGCCACTGGCCTGATCCAACATGGCTTCTCTTATGTTCTTATGTCTGGGGCAAGCGATGCTCTGTATTCTTGGTGGTTGGGGGGGCCACAGTGGGAGGGCTTCTGGAGTTCTGACCCCATTAGTGGACCTCCTGATAGCACCTGGGTTTTGGCCGCTGTGTGACACAGAGTGTTGGACTGGAGGGGCCATTGGCCTGATCCAACACTGGCTTCTCTTATGTTTTTCTGCCTGGGGCAGTGATGCTCTGTCTTCTTGGTGCTTGGGGGGCCACAGTGTGAGGGCTTCTGGAGTTCTGACCCCATTAGTGGACTTCCTGATGGCACCTGGGTTTTGGCCGCTGTGTGACACAGAGTGTTGGACTGGATGGGCCATTGGCCTGATCCAACATGGCTTCTCTTATGTTCTTCTGCCTGGGGCAGTGATGCTCTGTCTTCTTGGTGCTTGGGGGGCCACAGTGTGAGGGCTTCTGGAGTTCTGACCCCATTAGTGGACTTCCTGATGGCACCTGGGTTTTGGCCGCTGTGTGACACAGAGTGTTGGACTGGATGGGCCACTGGCCTGATCCAACATGGCTTCTCTCATGTTCTTATGTCTGGGGCAAGTGATGCTCTGTATTCTTGGTGTTTGGGGGGCCACAGTGGGAGGGCGTTTGGAGTTCTGACCCCATTAGTGGACCTCCTGATGGCACCTGGATTTTGGCCACTGTGTGACACAGAGTGTTGGACTAGAGGGGCCATTGGCCTGATCCAACTTGGTTTCTCTTATGTTCTTCTGCCTGGGGCAGTGATGCTCTGTCTTCTTGGTGCTTGAGGGGCCACAGTGTGAGGGCTTCTGGAGTTCTGGCCCCGCTGTTGGACCTCCTGATGGCCCCTAGGTTTTGGCCACTGTGTGACACAGAGCGTTGGACTGGATGGGCCCTTGGCCTGATCCAAGATGGCTTCCCTTATGTTCTTACACAGCGTGACATTTGCAACCCTGGTCTAATTTCCACCACACCAGAAGGCAGCCCATGCAACGTCTGTGCTGAGGTAAAATGTTTTGAAAGAATTTTTTTTTTTAATGAGTCTTCAAAGATAGGCGACATCTACTCCTTTATTAATTTAAAAGGCGGCGGGCCCTTTAACGGCGATCCCCTCCCCGCCTCTTTTCCCCTTTACTCCATGTTTACATAACAGACTGGACCGTACCATCGCTCCCTTAAACCGAAGGGGTGGCAGGGGGGCTGGCGGCGGTCGCGAAGAGGCCGGGCGGAGGGGGCGGAGCGTCCACGCCTCCCCTATTACCCCGAGCCCCGCGTCGCGTCCGAGGCGCTCATTGGTTTCTTCCTTCTGGCAGTTGCGGCCGTTTGCCGTCGACTGAGCAGCAGCAGGAGGAGCAGGAGGGAGACTCCGCGCCGGCGGGCGCAGGAAGCCGAAAGGCGCATTTCGGAGCGGCCCGAAACAACAAGAAAAGAAGGAAGCGGCCCGCCCGCCCGAGCAGTCGCGCGACGGACGACGCGGCCGGGCAGCGCGCGGGCGGACTTTCCATCCCTTTTCAACCCACGCTTGATTGATTGATTGGCTGATTGATTGATTGGTCGGCCGGCGTCTCTCGCCTCCCCCCCCCGCACTCGTTTTCCACCCCCCCCTTTCCACCGTCTCCTTATGGGATTATAGCAGCAGCGGCGGCGGCGTTGGCGGCGGCCCCATGTTTTCTCCCAGCCAGGAGGAGCACTGCGCGCCCAACAAGGAGCCCGTCAAATACGGCGAGCTGGTGGTGCTGGGGTGAGTAGCTGCTCCCCGGGAGGAGGAGGAGGAGGAGGAGGAGGAGGAGGAGAAGGGGACCTAATATGGGGGATGGGGGGGCGCAGACCCCTTAAGGACGGAGGCGTCGGTGGTGGTGGTGGGGGGGCGTTGGTAGGTTTTGATGGGGAGGAGGGAAACCCTCGCCTTTTCTCTGTCTTGCTGAATGAGAAGGGGATTTGCTTGGAAAGCGGGGAGGGGGGAGATTCGAAGGGGGCTCGACTCCTTTGCAAATAAAAAGAAGAGGGGGCCACGCAAGCAGGGCCCCGCAGGAAGAGGGAAGGGGGTCCCGCAGGAGGAGAGAAAGTCTCCCCCCCAAATCTGGGCCCCGCAGAAGGAGAGAGAGGGGAGTCCCCCCAAAATCTGAGCCCCGCAGAAAATCTGAGCCCCGCAGAAGGAAAGAGAGGGGAGTCCCCCCCAAATCTGGGCCCCGCAGAAGGAAAGAGAGGGGAGTCCCCCCCCAAACCGAGCCCCGGCGCAGAAGGAAAGAGAGGGGAGTCCCCCCCAAATCTGGGCCCCGCAGAAGGAAAGAGAGGGGAGTCCCCCCCAAATCTGGGCCCCGCAGAAGGAAAGAGAGGGGAGTCCCCCCCAAATCTGGGCCCCGCAGAAGGAAAGAGAGGGGAGTCCCCCCCAAATCTGGGCCCCGCAGAAGGAAAGAGAGGGGAGTCCCCCCCAAATCTGGGCCCCGCAGAAGGAAAGAGAGGGGAGTCCCCCCCAAATCTGGGCCCCGCAGAAGGAAAGAGAGGGGAGTCCCCCCCAAATCTGGGCCCCGCAGAAGGAAAGAGAGGGGAGTCCCCCCCAAATTTGGGCCCCGCAGAAGGAAAGAGAGGGGAGTCCCCCCCAAATCTGGGCCCCGCAGAAGGAAAGAGAGGGGAGTCCCCCCCAAATCTGGGCCCCGCAGAAGGAAAGAGAGGGGAGTCCCCCCCAAATCTGGGCCCCTCAGAAGGATAGAGTCCCCCCAAATCTGGGCCCTGCAGAAGGGGAGGGGGTCACCCCGAATCTTGACCCTGCAGAAGGAGAGAGGCAGTTGCCCCAAAGTCTTGGCCTCGTAGAAGGAGAGGGGGGTTCCCCCGAAGTCTTGGCCCTGCAGGAGGAGAGGGGGGTCCCCCAAGATCTTGGCCCCGCAGGAGAGAGGAGGGGGTCACCCCAAATCTTGTTGCCGTAGAAGGAGAGGGGGGGGGTCCTCCAAAGTCTTCTCCCCACAGAAGGAGAGAGGGGGGGTCGTCCCAAAGTCTTGGCCCCGCAGAAGGAGAGAGGGGGTCACCCCCAAAGTCTTGGCCCCGCAGAAGGAGAGAGGTGGTTGCCCGAAATCTCAGCCTCGTAGAAGGTGAGTGGGGTTCCCCCAAAGTCTGGGCCCTCGCAGAGGAGGACTGGGGGAAGCCCTGGTCCTCTTGGGAAGCGCCCCTGCAGAATATCCCTCTTGCATTAGCCCCCTTCCCGAGGAAAATGGGGAATCCCCCCCTGTTTGCCTTGCAATCAAAACAAAAGAAGAGCAGCACCCCCCCCTGCAGTGGGTCACCTGGAAGCTGGCGACGAGGTTTGTCTCTCCAGAGGCGGCTTTCTTTCTTCCCTGAGTCACGGCTGCCCACTTCTGTGCACGCTCCGTCCTCTTCAGGGGGTCTGGGACTTTGTGGTGGGACTGGGGGAGGGGGCAGCTTGGGGGGGGTTGATGATGATCCCGCTTTGAGAGATTGGGGGCTGGGGGGGTTGATGATCCGAAGAGAGGTAGCATCTTTGGGGGAACACGGGGTGATGGTTTGCCTCCACCTTTTCGTGGAGTGATAATTTGAGAAGGGGGAACCCCCGTTTGGGGGGGAGCTGGGGCGATAATTAGCAAAGGGGGATGGATGTCTTCTTGCAGTGATGATTTGAGAAGGGGACCTCATGGGGGGTTTTACAATTTGCAGAGGGGGACTTCTTTTTGGACTGAAAAATGCAGAAGGGGGACCCCATTTAGGGGTTGGGGAGATGGGGGATGGATTTCTTGCAGAGATAATTTGAGAAGGGGACCCATTTTTTTTGGGGGGGAAGGGAATGACAATTTGCAGATGGGGACTGAAATTGAGAAGGGGGACTCCATTTGGGGGGGAGTGGGGAGATTATAATTAGCCAAGGGCGATGGACCTCTTCTTGCAGTGATAATTTGAGAAGGGGACCCCATTTGGGGGAGAAAGATAATTTGAAGAGGGGGACTTCTTTTTGGACTGAGAATTTGAGAAGAGGACCCCATTTCTGGGGGTGGGTGACGAGGGAGATGATAACTAAGTGAAGCGGGATGGAACTCTTTTTGGGGATGGGGGGGCCTGGAGATTTGCGAAAGGGGAACTCTTCTCGGAGTGATAATTTGAGAAGAGTACCCCATTTTTTGGGGGGTGATAACTTGCAAAGGGGGACTTCTTCGGGGGCTGATCATTTGAGAAGGGGGCCTCGTTTTCGGGAGGGGGGGGCCGGGATGATTCGTGAGGAGTTCGGGATAATGGGGGGGGGGGGGCCCATTGGGGGAGGGGGATGGAGGCGGATAAGTAGTGTAGGGGACCGGATGTGATGGTGATGTGCAAAGGGGGACCTAGTTTGAGTGTGATACTTTGATTCATGGGTTGCATTTTTGGGGGAGATGATCATTTGTGAAAGGGGGAGCTCTTTTTGGGTGGAACGGTGTGTGTGTGATAAATTGCAAAGGGGGCCTTTGTGTTGGGAGCTATTTGGGAAGCCCTCTTTAGCACAGGGGAGGAGATCTTAGGGATATGGTTCAGGAAGGGGGGGGGAGGCCCTTGGGAATAGGAAGGGTATGCAGGGGAAGGGGGGGAAGAG